AGACCTGTTTTAAAAACCAGCTGCCTAAATGTGGATCCTGGTGAACCGAGCACAAAAAGAGAAAGTATGAAAAATAATTCAAGGGCCAGCGAAAGATCCTATGTACCTATGAAGAATTGACACTTGGGCTAGAAACAAAGATTTTCAATATGTGGGACTCACGTGGGATGAGGGACACTGTTCTTTACACCACTTTTCCTTAGTTTGCTACTCAGCTACGTGACAGAGCTGACAGATCGAATAAGGGCCAAGTCTTCACCTGAGGCAGATGAGCTTGAGAATTCAGCTGAGTTTGTGAGCTTCTTTCCAGATTTTGTGTGGACGCTGAGGGATTTCTCCCTAGACTTGGAAGCAGATGGACAGCCCATCTCAGCAGACGAGTACCTGGAGAACTCACTCAAACTTAAGCAAGGTAAAGGGAACTTAGAACTGATTATCAGGAATTACAAAACACTAGAAACCATCATTTTTTGTTTTTCTATTTAGATTTCTTAGGTTTATACTTTTCTACTTCTTCTCAACTGACTAGTTCTAAAAATGAATGCTTGTTCAATATCTGAATTAATAGATTTGATTTTGAATTATCTTCTCCCCTGTTCTAAGAATGAGTTTCTTTTTCTTTCACCTTTTCCTGTGCTCTGATCAGATTGATTTTGTCTCCCTGCTTATGGTGTGTGATGCTATAATTAGCCGAAGAGTGTGGAGTGAAATGGGAATTAATTTAAGAAAAATATATTAAAGCATGAACAGTGCACTAGTCTGGTAGTTGGCAAGCCATGGCCCACAGGCAAATGATGGCCAATGCAGCCTGCCAGATGTCTTATAAATAAGTTTTAATGGACTAATGCTATGTAGATTGTCTGTGGCTGCTTTCATAGCATAATAGAATTGAATAGTTGATAAGTAGACCACCTGACCTGCAATACCTAATATATTTACAGTTTGGACCTTTACAGAAAAAGTTTCCAAGCCCCTACATTAATTTGCGAATATTGGACCAGCCTTACATCCCTGGAGTGAATCCCACTTGGTCATGGTGGATAATTTTTTAATGTATTGCTGTATCCGATTTGCCAATATTTTGTTGAGGATTTTGGCATCTATGTTCATCAGGGATATTTGCCTGTAGTTTTCTTTCTTTGTAGTGTCTTTATCTGGTTTTTGAATTAGGATTATGCATTATAATGTGAAATCAGATTATGGCATTATAAAAAGAGCTTGGAAGTCTTCCTTCTTCTTGAATTTTTTGGAATAGTTGGAGGAGAATTAGTGTTAGTTCTTCTTTGAATGTTCAATAAAACTCCCCTGTGAAGCCACCTGGATTCAGGCTTTTGTTTGCTGGGAGTTTCTTGATTACAGCTTCAATTTTAGTTGTTATTGATCTGTTCAAGTTTTCTGTCTCTTCCCAGTTCAGTTGTGGAAGACTGTATGATTCTAGAAATTTGTCCATTTCACCTAGGTTGTCCAATTTGTTGGCATATAATTGTTCATAGTATTTTTTTTTTCTTTATTGATTTTAGAGAGGAAGTGAGAGGGAGAGAGAGATAGAAACATTGATGAGAGAGAATATCGATTGGCTGCCTCCTGCATGCCCCCTGGGGAGCAGGCCCACAACCTGGACATGTGTCCTGACTGGGAATCAAACTGGCAACCTCTTGGTGCATGGGTCAATGCTCAACCACTGAGCCACACCAGCTGTACTTTCATAGTATTTTTTAACAATCCTGTGTAGTATCAGTTGTTACTTCTCCTCTTTTGTTTCTAATTTTGTTTATTTGGATCCTCTCTCTTTGTGTTTTGGTGAGTCTGGCTAAAAGTTCATCAGTCTTGTTTATCTTTTCAAAGAACCAGCTCTTTGTTTCATTGATCTTTTGAATTGTTTCTTTAGTTTCTGGGTCATTTATTTCTGCTCTGACCTTTATTATTTCTTTCTTTCTACTTTCTCTGAGTTTTCGTTTTGTTTACTTTCTAGTTCTTTAAGTTGTAGGGTTAGATAGTCTATTAGAAATTTTTCTTGTTTCTTTTTTTTTTTAATTTCTTTATTTTTGTTACAGATGTTTCTTTTTTTCCCACATTGACACCCTCCTCCCAATCCCAGCCCTCCCCCCCAGCATTATTATTTATGTCCTTGTTTACACATAGATGCATAAAAGTTCTGTGGTTTATCTCTTCCCTCCCCCGACATCCACCTCTTCTGAGGTTTGTCAGTCTATACCCCACTTCCATTTCTCTGGGTCTATTTTGTTCCTCAGCTTGTTTTGTTCATTATATTCCACAAATAAGTGAGATCACATGATATTTGTCTTTCTCTGATTGGCTTGTTTCGCTTAGGATAATACTTTCCAGGTCCCTCCATGTTGTCTCAAAGGATAAGAGATTTTTCTTTCTATGGCTGCATAGAATTCCATTGTGTATATGTACCACAGCTTTTTTATCCACTCATCTCCTGATGGACACTTGGACTGTTTTCAGATGTTAGCAATTGTAAATAGTGCTTCTATGAACATAGGGGTACATATATTCTTTCTGATTGGTGTTTCACGTTTCTTAGGGTACATTCCTAGAAGTGGGATCACTGGGTCAAATGGCAGTTCAATTTTTAATTTTTTGAGGAAACACCATATTGTTTTCCATAGTGGCTGCACCAGTCTGCATTCCCACCAGCAGTGTGCTAGAGTCCTCTTTTCACCAGCACTTGTTGTTTGGTGATTTGTTGATGGCAGCCATTCTGGTAGGTATGAGTTGATACTTCATGATTGTCTTACCTTGTTTCTTTAGGTAGGCCTGTAGCACTATGAAATTCCCTCTCATGACTGCTTTCACTGAGTCCCATAGATTTTGTATTGTTGTGTGTTTATTTTCATTAGTTTCCAGGAAGCTCTTTATTTTTTCCTTGACCTCCTTGATAACCCATTCGTTGTTCAAAAATATGCTATTTAGCCTCCATGTGTTTGAAGGTTTTTGCTATAATTGATTTCTAGTTTCATGCCATTGTGACCTGAGAAGATGCTTGATATGATTTCAATCTTCTTGAATTTGTAGAGACTTAGTTTGTGTCCTATCAAATGGTCTATATTTGAGAATGTCCCATGTGCACTTGAGAAGAATGTGAATTCTGCAGTTTGGGGGAGTAATTCTCTGCAAATATCTATTAATCCATGTACTCTAGTGCATCATTTAGAGTCTCTGTTTCCTTGTTAATTCTTTGTCTAGAGGATCTATCTATCCAGTGATGTCAGCGGGGTTTTAAAGTCCCCTGCTATGATTGTATTGCTGTTGATTTCTCCTTTGAAGTCTTCCAGAAGTTTTTAAATATATTTTTGGTGCTCCTATATTAGATACATATATTTTTACCAAGGTTATATCCTGTTGGACAGATCCTTTCAGTATTATGTAATGACCTTCTTTGTCTCTTGTTATGGCCTTCATTTTGAAGTCTATTTTATTAGATATGAGTATTGCTACCCCAACATTTTTTTAATTTCCATTTGCTTGGAAAATTTTTTTAATCCCTTCATTTTCAACCTGTGTGAGTCTTTTGTTGTGAGCTCAGTCTCTTATAAACACCATATATATGAGTCATGCTTCCTTATCCATTCAGGTACTCTGTGTCTTTTGATTAGAACATTTAATCCATTTACATTTAAGGTTATTATTGATATGTACTTATTTATTGCCATTTTTATTTATTATGGCTATGTTTATCTCTGTTTCCTTTGCTTGTTATAGCAGTACTGTAGATAAATCCAATATCGTATTCCTAAGTTCTATAAAAATGAACAAAAGATACGTTTACTTCCACTGCTCAAATAATCAAACATCAGATCTGCATGAGAGTTGCACTGTGGCAGTTTACTCGTCTGATTTCAGAGTTCAAAGTCCTTTTTGTGTATTTGGCCCAATGATATCCACATCCCAGATAAATTCAGTTTCAGAAACAAAAATTAAGGCAAAGACTTTGTATCACAAAGCACAAGGATATGCTACTAGAAGTTGCTGTCCTTCCATGGCGAATGCAGAAATAAAAATTTTGGAAGCAGAAAAACTGCACCATCCAATAATTCCAGCAGTGAGGCTGATTCTTACCATTCTTTGCAAAGAAAAGATCACCTCAAAGCTGGAAAGTAAGATCCCGGGAAGAAGACGATATCCAAGGGCACTTGTTGCACAACCAAATGAAAAACGTCTGTCATACTCATTAAGTTTAACAAACAAAACGTTCCTAGACATCCAATCGCACTGATTCCCATATACACAGCCAAACTGGATTTTACCAGCCAGTAATATGGTTCCAAAGGCAAGGCAAAGACCATGGGTCCTGCCAGATTAGTTTCATTCATGATGCTGCCATCTGCTTTTAATGGATGTAACACTGTTACGTGTTTTTTTTCCCATATGTAGTCAAAATTGATACCCAATTCTTCTAATAAAGGTGGTTCATCCTCAGCTGTTTCTGTTCAATGACTGAGGTGTAGCTGGAGTAAATGTCTGAGTTGGCTGGAACATCTGCCCGGTGTACGACGGTGGTACGGCCGACCTTGCTGCGAGTCATCCCAGCCAGCACACTCTTTGCTACAGGGCCTTCACTTCGTCCCTAATCGTAGGACTGCGGTAACTGGCCATCGATGCTGTTAAGTGATCAAATCCTGACACTGCAAATGATCACCCGCGGAGGCAGCGCCAGAAAACCCGCGAACTCAGCTGAGGACCCGAACAGGCACCGTTGCTGTGTGTCCCGAGCCCCTCTATTAAGCAAAGTCCTTTTTTTTTTTTTTATCTTGCTCCAGGTACCAGTCCTAAAGATAAAAATTTTAATCTGCCCCGACTCTGCATCCGGAAGTTCTTCCCAAAGAAGAAATGCTTCATCTTCGATCGGCCCACTCACCGGAGGAAGCTTGGCCAGCTGGAGACACTGCATGATGACGAGCTGGACTCGGAATTCCTGCAGCAAGCTGCTGACTTCTGCTCCTACATCTTCCACAATTCCAAAATTAAAACTCTGTCAGGGGGCATCCAGGTCAATGGGCCGCGTGAGTCCTCTTCCCAGTCTTTACTCTCACTGCTAAGACTCCAGGAAGGTGGAATAACACCCACCTCCTTTCAGTTTGAAAAAGGCAAACCTACTGTTATTACAGGGCACCTTCTAGGTGACATTCCTAATGGATTTTATTAGTCAGGTTTCTTGAATGAGAAATGATAGGAAAGGACAAAGAAAAAAGCTTTATTGCTTAAAATTGCCCTAGTAGACTGGATCTTTACTATCCCATATGGTAGCTGTTAGACAAGTGTAACTATCTAAGTTTAAATGTAGATTAATTAAAATTAAAGAAAATCAAAAATTCTGATTACACAGCTCTATTTCAAGGGCTCATACCTACACGCGGCTAGTGGCTACAATACTGGACGGCACACGGAGCTCACGACCATCATCACAGAAAGTTCTCTTGGACAGTGTTCTGCTAGAATAAATAAAATGGAGGACTCCTTTTATAAATTTATTTTTACTTATTTTTATTTTTTAATTTTTAAAAAATTCTTACCCGAGGATATGATTTTCCATTGAATTTAGAGAGAAACATGGACATGAGAGAGAAATATTGATCAGTTGCCTCCTGCACATGCCCCAACTGGGAATGGAACCCGCATCTTAGGTAGGTGCCCTGACTGGGAATGGAACCCACACTCTTTTGGTGTATGGGACAATGCTCCAACCAACTGAACCACCCAGCCAAGGCAGAGGACTTCTTCTCATTGTTTCACAAACATTGATTTTACAAATTCTTACCACAGACCAGAACTGATGATAGAGACATAAATGACAGAGGTACCTTTCCTATCCTAATGATGCTTGGGGGTAAAGTATATGCACCCAATAACCACAGGTCTATGGTATCCAGAACAGAGGTTCTCACCTTTTGATATGTATTCATATCTCCCAAGGATCTTGCTAGAGGAGGGGCCAATTCAGTTGATCTAGGACAATGGCTGAGAGTCTGCAGTTCTAGCAGGTGATGCTGAGGTCATAGATGCTGTGAGCCAAATGAGTGGTAAAAGATATCAGATTTACAGAGAATAGACTGTTTCCTCACCCCACCTACAACAAACATTATCATTTGTTCTCTATCGGTAGGACTGGAGAGCCTGGTTGTGACCTATGTCGATGCCATCAGCAGCGGGGATCTGCCCTGCATGGAGAACGCAGTCCTGGCCTTGGCCCAGATCGAGAACTCGGCTGCAGTGCAAAAGGCCATTGCCCACTATGACCAGCAGATGGCTGGGAAGGTGCAGCTGCCCACGGAAACCCTCCAGGAGCTGCTGGACCTGCACAGGGACAGTGAGAAAGAGGCCATCGAAGTCTTCATCAAGAATTCCTTCAAGGATGTAGACCATTTATTTCAAAAGAAATTAGCGGTAATTTTTTTCTTACGTTTGTATGGATTAGGGTCTCAGAAAGCAAAGTGCTACTAGGAAATAAAATGGGTATGTATTAGGAGAAAAAAAATTCTTACTATACTGTATAATGATTTAAAAAAACACTATTTGTGCCCTGGCCGGTTTGGTTCAGCGGTTAGAGCATCCACCTGCGGTCGGAAGAGACCCGGGTTCGGTTCCCGCTAAGGGCATGTACCTCGGTTGCAGTTTGTCCCCGGCCCTGGTTGGTCGTGCAGGTAGCAGCCACTCAATGTGTCCCTTTCACATCGATGTTTCCCTCTCTCTCTCTCTTCCTCTCTCTCCCTCCCACTCTATCTGTGCAAAAAATGGAAAAATGTCCTCGGGTGAGGATTAAAAAAAAACAAAAAAAACACTATTTGTTATTATTATTGTAAGAAGAACCAATTTCATTATGATTGACTCAAACTTTTGAAACATTTTTTTCTTTCATGCATAAACTAATATTCTCTCATAATTTAGTTAAATGCATACAGGTAACAATCAGAGCTTCTATTCCAATTACATGCTTGCTGTTATCAGACTGATTTTTATATTATAGCCAGAAGCAAAGAAATATGTAGTCTTCGTTATCTTGATATTGAGCCACATTTATTGGATATGTACTCATTGGTCCAATTTGAAAAGCAGGAGTTTATTTGTAAAGGTGTATTGGCAGGACTGGAGAGCCTGGTGCTAACCTATGTCGCTGCCATCAGCAGTGGAGGTCTGTCCTGCATGGAGAACACAGACCTGGCTTTGGCCCAGATCGAGAACTCAGCTGCAGTGCAAAAGGCTGTGGCCCACTAGGACCTGCAGTTGGGTAGCATAAGTGCTAACATAAAGCTAGTGATCTCTGCCACGAACTTCACCTCCAAGGAGAAAGGGATGTCAATGGAAAGATGGAGTCAGGAGAAAGGGTGTGGTCCTGCTGAGGTGCCTGTACGGTTTTATAGGGGTCACAGACTTTATTTTTTGAGAATACATTCCAAAAGTCCTGAGGTCAAGCTAACATCTCTCTACTCTTTTGACTTCCTATTTTCACATTAAAGGCTCAGCTAGAAGAAAAGCGAGATGACTTTTGTCAACAGAATGTGAAAGCATCATCGGATCGCTGCTCAGCTTTACTTAAGGAAATCTTCAGTCCTTTAGAAGAAAATGTAAAGCAGGGAGTTTATTCTAAACCAGGAGGATATCGTCTCTTTATCCAGACTATGCAAGAGTTGAAGAAAAAGTACCTTCAGGAACCCAGGAAGGGAATACAGGTAACCAATGTTTATCTGTCTCTCCGTCTGTTGCTCCCCTCAACCCCACACTTTCCTCCCTCCCTTCCTCCCTCCACCTCCTTTCTTTGGATCTGCTCTCTCCAGGATGGCTTCATTCCCCAGCAAGCTCACCCCACATGGGACCACAGCACCAACAGCTCCAAAATGAGAGCCCTCACTCAGAGAACAAAGACTCTCCATCTATATTGATGTCAATCTCTTACAAAGAATTCTGCTTCATAGGTTGCCATGCTTGGCCAACCTGCAGCATGTGCCCACCCTGTGACAGGGCATCTTGATCAGCAGACACACCAGGGCCAAGAAAAGCAATTCCCAGAGGAAAAGATGGTGGGCAAATAGGAATAAGCACTTACAGCCATTTCCTATTACTAACGCTATTTTCTCTGGGTCCTAGAGTGCAGAAATTCTTCAGGCATACTTGCAGTCCAAGGAGTCTGTGACTGACGCAATTCTACAGACAGACCAGACTCTCACAGAAAAGGAAAAGGAGATCGAAGGTGAGGAGCAAGAGACAAGATAGCCTCAACAGCTTTTAGAAGTTTCAATAATGTGGCTGGGTGAACCTGGGGTCCTGAAACAAGAGCAAGATGAGCAAAGGTGCCTCTTCCTAGCCGAAGTCAGTTCTCAACAGGGCAGATGCAGTCAGCAGCAGCAGCAGCACCGGGAAGGTTCAACGAGAAGAAAAAGCAACGTGGTCACATGAATTCATACACATGAGTTTTCCTTCTTCCTTTCCTCCTGGCAGTGCAACGTGTGAAAGGTGAATCTGCAGAGGCTGCAGCAAAAATGTTGGAGGAAATGCAAAAGAAGAACCAGCAGATAATGGAGGAGAAAGAAAAGAGTTATCAGGAACATGTGAAACAATTGACTGAGAAGATGGAGATGGAGAGGGCCCAGTTAATGGCAGAGCAAGAGAGGGTTGTCAATCTTAAACTTCAGGTATTGAATTGCATCCCCTTAAAGTTTGTCTTTTTCTGTTTTTTCTCCACTCTCCCTGACCTCTCTGTGTGGCTGTTAGAACAGGAAGCCCAGAAGGACCTTGCTTGCCCACTGATACTTTTCAATCCCTATCCATCTGCCTGACCTGGCCCCTGCCTATGTCTGGTTATTTAAAAATTTTATTTGCATTTATATCACATCCTGTGATACTTTATCGGTATCTTCTTTAACCAATGGTAGCTGTTATCTGCTAGACATTATAAAACATGTCTTCTCTGTATCTCTTGCTTAATATCATATGAAGCAAGAACTGCTATGTCCCTATGACTTAGGAGAAGAAACAGAGGTTCAGAAAAGATTAACTTTTGTAGGATCACACAGCTTAGTAAGATATCTGAACCATCTCTGCCAGTTAGAGGAATCCATAAGCACCGTTTTCCAGCCACACCTGGTATGACTCCTTAAGTCTCACACCTGTGTCAGTGTGCCACTCCTGACTGTTTCTATGCCCTACTCCCAGTTTCTGTAGTGAAGTATGTGCCGAAATCCAGTCTGGACTCTTTGGGACCTTGATTTCCTTACTTATATTCTGCTGATCTTGCCGTGAAGCTGTGGAGGCTTAAACAAGTGACATAAGATTCAGACACTTCATTTGATTTTGAGAATTTTTTATTATATTTGTTATGTGTGTATATAAGAGTTTCTGAGTATGTGTGTATATATAAGAGTCTATAATGCATAGGTAAGATTTGAAAACAAACCTGTGATTAAGATTGCCCACAAAGGTGTGTACAATTAATGGGATAAAAGATCAAGACTTGTAATTTAGGTTCATCAGTACAACAGAAGGTATAGGGCAATATCTTTCTTTGCTAAAGGAGTCTCGAGAAAAGTAATCACAGAGCTGGGATGCCCAAGAGAAAGTATAATGAAAATTAATGGTAGAGAAAATTTCAAGAAGAAATTAAATACCAAAAAAAAAAAAAAAAACTATGAATGTGGGAACTAAATAGAAGTTGGAGATTTGCTTACTGCTGTACCTTAATCACTCTTTATTTGTCCCTTTTAGGAACAAGCCCGGTTGCTACAGGAAGGGTTTAAGAAGGAGAGCACACAACTTCAGAACGAAATACAGACTCTCAAGCATAACATGGGAAGAAGAAAGAGAGGATGTACCATAAGCTAAAGACCAAAGGAAAAGGGCTTTCCTGGTCATTCTTTACCCAGGGCATAACTCAAGCAGTTTTACAATTTGGAAAAATGTAACTACACTTGAGAAAAAGTGACCTTTAAGCTAATAAAAAGAATCTACAAAAAACTTTTCACCTAACATACTTAATGATGAAAAACTGAATGTTTTGCCCCTAACTCAGGAACAAAGCAAGGATGTCTAGTCTCTCTGTTAAACGTTATAATGAAAGGCTTAGTACAATATGGGAAAAAAAAGAAAAAGAAAGAAAAGGCATATATATCAAAAAGGATAAAATAAGCCCTAGCCAGTTTGGCTCAGCAGTTAGAGCGTCGGCCTGCGGTCCAGAGAGACCCGGGTTCGGTTCCTGCTAAGGGTGCATACTTTGTCCAGTTTGTCCCTGGCCCTGGTTGGGTTGGGCGGGTGGCAACCATTCGATGTGTCCCTTTCACGTTGATGTTTCTCTCTCTCTCTCTCTCTCTCCCACTCTATCTGAACAAACTATCGAAAAATGTCCTCTAGTGAGGATAAAAAAAAAAGATTAAATAAAACTGTCTTTATTCTCAGACACTCTGATTATCCATACAGACAAATTCCAGAGAATCTACAAAAACAAACAACAACAACAACAAACTCTTGGAACAAATAAATGAGTTCAACAAGGTTATAAGATTCAAAATCAATACATAAAAATCATGTTTTCAACTGTATTTTTAGATCAATGCAATTAACAATTGAAAACAAAATTTCAAAAACAATACCACTTAAAATAGCTATTTTTTCAAAATGAAATACTTAGGTAGAAATCTACCAAAACACACACAGAATCTCTATGCTGAAAACCATTCTAAGCCAAGAGATTATGGGATGGATCATGATCCATGGATCTTCTTAGATTCCAACTCCCTTGAAGTTTTTATGATATTCCTTTTACTCATTGTAGAGAGGAAGCTTTAAGACTCTTTTTTATAGAGTTAGCCCTGACAAAACCATGTGCCTATTATTCATGAAGTTCCACTGAACACTAAAAATATCCATTGTATGTGTTAGGCTTTTATCCACATACAAAGAGGGAAAAATATGGCTCACAACTCAGTGTCACATAATATGCCAACTATACACATACACACACACACACACACACACACACACACACACACCACCCTTCCCGCCCACTGAGAGTTCTCTGACAGACAGTATTTCATAGAACACAAGACAGGCAAACTTACCCGGTTTTTATTGTGGAGATTTTTTTTTCCCAAAACCTAAATTCAAAACAGAATCCCTAGGAAGTTAGATGAGGCTATGTGAAAAGCAGCAATTGCTTAGACTATAGGAGTCATTCATTCAAAAAATATTGGCTGAGTATCTACCACATACTCTGCTAAGGAGTGGGACTATAGTTGCAGTCCCTTTCTTAAGGAGCTAATAGTCTAGTGGTGAAGACAGATTAAACAAATAAATACAGAAAATTAAATACTTATGAAATTGAGGGGAGAGGATTTCTGATTTGGGAAGGAGTTGATCTAATCCCCCTACCCCAAGTTGGGAGGGAGAGAGAGCACCTATCACCTGGCCCCAAACACAACCTTGACAGTGTAACAGTGTATCATGCTCACGGCAAGTCTCTCTGAGTGGATTGCTAAGAAATGAAGAAAGCAACAAGCTCCATCTAGTGGCCGATATTATTTCGCTTCACAGAATTTTGTCACTACCTTTTATCACCATCTTGATTGACTGTCTCCCACACTAGAACATAAGCTCCATGTGGGCAGAAACATGACCTATTTTATCGCAGACTCAGCCGACTAGAAGGGTTCCTGGCATATAATGTACCATGCAATATATATTTTTAAACACATGAGTGAAAATTTTACATGAACAGTTTATGATCCCAGCACCATTCCTGATGCTTCTCCCTGAAAGTTTACCATTTGATTCTTTAATATTATACTGAATATTAGAGGAATTTGATAGTTATTTAAATTTTTGTACTATTTAGGGTAGAATGTTCTACCTCTCCTCTCTAATAAAAGATTTCATCATCACCCCTTCTTTATAGACCTAGAGAACCTGGTGTTGATTTACGTTCCTGCCATTGCTCTGGGGATCTACTTGACAAAAAGCACATGGTACTAACCAGCAGCAGTGCTAAAAGTACTTTGCACATTATGACAAACCGAAGAAGCAAAGGGCAGTCCCATTGAAACCCTTCCGGAGCTGAGAACCTGCATAAAACCTTAAAGAGAGAGGCCTCTACAAGCTTTAGAGCGCAATCATGAATGTGAACCAGAAATCCCAGGGGCAAAGTCAGAAAGGAAGGAAACATAATGTCTTCCTGAGAAGAACAATTTCTACCAGGTTCTACTACAGTGATACTGTGTAGCGACATATTTTAACACCTTAGCTAGAAGTCACACACCTAGTCCATGTCTTGAAGGGCACAATACTTGCCAAAGTTTTCACAAGGATAGTTTTTATTATTATATCTTACATGTGGAGCTGATGTTTTTGATGATTTTTTTCCCCTATTAATCTGATTTGTGAAGTCAAAGCTCATTTTCTCTTTTTTAAAATTGTTCAGAGACTGTAAAAAATTTCCCCGACTCAAATAACCTGCTAATATTAAATTGCTGTAAATACAGCCAAATGTGCATATGGATAGGCAGGCGGACAGATAGATAAATAGATGCATAGTTACCCTGGGCAGCCTTTCTATGGGTAAATATACAATTTCTATTATGACTTTTGAAATATTTAAACTGTACAGCTATTATCTGGCTGGAAAGCATTAATTTACTTTAATAATACATATATAAAATCTTGTACAATAGCTACATGAGGCTGAAAACTGGAAATAACTTTTTGACAAATATAATTGTATATAATTAAAGTGTAAAATTTGATGATTGATTGTGGAATGATTACCAATGTCAATATAATTACCATATCCATCACCTCACATAGTTAACAGTGTGTGTGTGTGTGTGTGTGTGTGTGTAGTGAAAATGGTTAAGATCTATTCTCATCAACTTTCAAGAATATAACTTGAAGGTGGAAAAGTCTTTAGGAACTTCAAACCTGGATTTAATTGTCTTTTTTTTTTCCCAGAGCAGGTACTTCTTAGTACAGCTCTAGGGTGATAAGATAAAGGGGAAAAAATGTTGTTCTGCCTGCCTCATTCTTAGTACCCAGAGGTGACAGCTACCTCTTGAGAAGCATTTCCAGATAGTGAGGCATTGCCAGTATCTTCCACCTTGATCTCCTCCCAGGTAAAAGTAAAGTGGGATGCCTTTGATCAGCAAACTAGAAGAGTCACTAAACCATTCCAGCCATACCAGGACTGCATATCAGAAAACTCATGTAACTGAGTCAAACAAAATTGATTTCTTTCTCATGTCCAAGGCTGCAGTGGTGGCTCCATGATATTAGGGCTCAAGCTCCTTCTCTCCCATCCTGCTGTTCTAACATCTTCAACTTGCAGATTCTCCCTGGTGGCCCAAGAAGGCTGTGGCCATCATGTCTGTACTCAGACTATCAGGGAAACCACAAACTAAGGGAATAATAAAGACATGCTCTACCCCTTTAAGACATTTCCTGGAAGCAGCACATCCAGCTTCCTTTTATGTCCCATGGGCCAGGATTTAATCTTATGGCCAAACAACAGAGGCTGGAAATGCAGTTCTTCTACCAAGCACCCATGTACTCTGCTGAAATTAAGAGGTTCTATTACTACTGAACAAGAGAATGTTAATATTGAGAAATAACCAGCAGCCCCATCCTAAAGATTCTCTTTCCCTTTTTCTTAAGAAAGAATTTTATAGAACGAAGCACAGTTCTAAGTTTCCCAGGTCTATTAAATCATCTAATAGAACTATAAGTAAGGTTCTGATATCCACATTTTACAGATGAGGAAATCGAAGGCCAGATAAATGAAGTAACTTGTGCAAAGTCACACAGCTAGATTTGCAGAGCTGGGATTTCAACCGGACAGTTTGGCTTAACCACTGTGCTATGCTGTCTTCTCTCTGCTATATTTCAGAATAGTTTTGGTCTTTTGTATGAGGCAATGAAAAAGGCTTTGTCTATATAAGGGACATATTGTCTTTTTACTCAGAACACAAATCAGCAGAAGATATAACAGAAATATACCTATTGCCTACTAATTCTAGGGAGTCACTTATCTTTCTCATTAAACACCAACAGGAGTATAAAGAATAACACGAGCCTGGTACTGGCATAAGAACAGGCATATAGACCAGTGAAACAGAACTGAAAACCCAGAAATGGACCCAAGGCAATATGCTCAATTAATATTTGACAAAGGTGGCAAGAGCATACAGTGGAGTAAAGACAGCCTCTTTAATAAATGGTTTGGGAAATTGGACAGCTACATGCAAAAAAAATGAAACTAGACCATCAACTTACACCATACACAAGAAGAACTCAAAATGGATAAAAGACTTAAATGTGACTCATGAATCCATAAAAATCCTAGAAGAAACTGTAGGCAACAAAATTACAGACATCATACGCAGCAGAATTTTCACTGATACATCACCGAAGCCAACAGAAACAATGGAGAAAATGAACACATGGGACAACATCAAATTCAAAAGCTTCTGCACAGCAAAAGATACAATCATCAAAATGGAAAGGGAACCCACTGTATGGGAGAACATAATTGCCAATGATATATCAGATAAGGGGTCAATTTCCAATATATAGAGAGTGCTCATACAACTCAACAAAAGGAAGACAGAGAACCTAATTAAAAAATGGGCAGAGGAACTAAACAGACACCTCTCCAAACATGACATACAAATGGCCGAGACACATATGAAGAAATGCTCAACATCACTAATCATCAGAGAGATGCAAATTAAAACAACAATGAAGTATCACCTCACACCTGTCAGAATGGCCACCATTAACAAATCGTCAAACAAGAGTTGGCAAGGGTGTAGAGAAAAGGGGACTCTAGTACACTGCTGGTGGGAATGCAGACTGGTACAGCCACTATGGAAAACACTATGGTGTTACCTCAAAAAGTTAAAAATTGAACTGCCATTGGAGCCAGTGATCCCACTTCTAGGAATATACCCTAAGAAGCCTGAAACACCAATGAGAAAGAATATATGTACCCCCATGTTTGTAGCAGCTCTATGTACAATAGCTAAGATCTGGAAACAGCCCAAATGTCCATCAGTAGACAAATGGATAAAAAAGCTGTGGTACATATCCACAATGGAGTACTATGCAGCTGTAAGAAAGATCTCTTATCCTTTGAGACGACATGGAGGGACCTGGAAAGTATTATCCTAAGCGAAACAAGCCAAACAGAGAAAGACAAGTATCATATGATCTCACTTATTTGTGGAATATAATGAACATAACAGTCTGAGGAATGGGGTAGTCCCAGAGACGTGAAGTGGACTGACAATCCCCAGAAGAGGGGGTGTTGGGGGAGAGATAAACCACAGAACTTATATGCATGTATGCATGCACAATGGATTTGGACAACAAAGCTGGGGACAGGGCGGGGAGGGAAACAGAGGGGAGAATCAATGGGGGGAAAAGAAGAAACATCTGTAACAAAAATAAATAAAATAATTTTTAAAAAAAAGAATAACATGAGGTTTGGCACATGAACAAAGCATTCAAATGCCCAGCATTCAGTCATTCCGTCATTTAATGAACATCTGTGTAAAGTTCTCAACCTTCCTAATGCCGTGACCCTTTAATACAGTTCCTCACGTTGTGGTGATCCCCAAACCATAAAATTATTTTTGTTGCTACTTCATAACTGTAATAATTTTGCTACTATTATGTCTTAGGCGACCCCTGTGAAAGGGTCATTCGACCCCCAAAGGGGCGGTGACCCACAGGTTGAGAACCGCTGGCACTGTAAACCAATAACAAGAACAAGAGATGGCAAATCAAACATATTTACATTCTCTCCCTATTTAAGCTCCACTAAAACAATAGTAAGGAGATTCTTTTAAGCCTCGTGAGAACAAAAACAGTAAGAGGGATGACAGTGGTCATAAAATTATAGAAGTTACAAAACAAATGGGCAGGTGGTACCTGACAGCCCATTTAAATAAGCTGAATCCTAGAACAGCCTTGAAGAAAGACAAAAAGGCAACTCAATTTACCCCCAAAAAACTCGCCAAAGGTTCAAGACTAAACACAGGAGAATCCTTTAAAGGCCTTTCTAAGAAATAAACAGGTCCCCAGATCCCCATCCCTGGTCTGCCATAGCCCCAACTGTCCCCCTTCGTCTC